TATATGAATCTCTCCGAGTGAACCAAGCAAAAATTATAAATATCCGCCGTTACTTTCGAATACACGAATCAGCGCCGGATTAAAGTAAGATAAGGAAGAAGCCTGCTGTCGGATTCCTCGGCGGGATTCGATGTGGCAAACGGCCCAACGAAATTGAGAAAACGTGATTTATCGCGGTAACGCATAAATAGATAAGCGGGAGGGGCAGGAGAAAAAGATGTTCGCTTTAAGAAACGGTCGTACTCACCTGCTGCTCAGTCCGAGGACACGGGCAACTAAGGATCGCCTACCGTGTGTGGTCCCGTTACCTATCTCTCTTGGCTCGGATCAATTCGTCCGGGATGCAACCTTTGAACCGATCAAACCGTCTGCCGCGCAATAATCGTAAACGTAATGATCGCGTACGGACCGGTCGCACGCGCGAATCTCATCAATAACTCTCCCTCTTTCTGCGTTACTCCCATCAGCGCGAACGTCGACGGAGTGCCGCCGACGAGTAATTCCGGGAATTTCTTACCGTAAAAGGCGCGATACCTCTTGGAGAGGGTAGATCACGTGACAGAGACCCCGATGATACATGCGCGGTTTTCCCAGGAACGTAACAAGTTTTCAGAAAACATTTTTATCAACGGCTTCCAATCGCCCAATATCTGATTAACTTTCGATGATTAAACCTCAAGATGAAATTCATACACAGTTTTCAACCATACACGCAGTCGTTGTTAATTAAAATATATTATGTCTTCGATACAATACATCTGGTGTATGTAAAGAATACTTCTCAAATACTATAAAATACATATAAAAAACTTGTTAACAGTACAAAAATATCCATTTAAATATAAATTATTTTAAGTATTTTAAAATAATTTGATCGTTCGAAGAATGATGGGTGGGAGTATAAGGCACACCGCACCAGTGAGATATGTTGCCCTGCTGCCAATACACCAGAAAGCTGAAGACAAAATGTCTGTCTTAATTAGCGAAATCTTGTAAAGTAGAATTCTATATATACGGAGTGATTGGCTACTGGACAAAATTTCAAGGAGTGATTCTAGGAACCGATATAAGGATGTACATATTATTTTACCTAAAGAAGCTACAACAGGTCCACAAGCTCGAGCAAGAGCTCCAAGGGAACGAAACACGCCTGTTATCGCACCTTTCTGATAATCTGGGCCAATACGTGTAACTAGAGTCATCATACAAGTTACGACCATAGCAGTAGCTGAAATAAATATGAAAACTGTATATTTCCTTTGTCCCGCTTTATGGACGAAATTGTACGTTACGCTAGACTCACAAATTGCGAATAGAAGTACTCCGAGCGACAACATCAATATTTCATTCGCTAAGCCTACACAAACGAACGCTGGTATAATGAGCCATAAGCCCTAAAATGTTAATGCAAAGTAAAACGACAAGTATAAGGCACCACCGTAAATTCTCGAAATAGGATAGTTACCAACTCTGCGACAGACTTAGTTTTGTCGGACGGAATCGTCCTTACCCAAGTTCCTTGCAAAACTGCCATAACTAATCCGATTCCCAAAAACATCCATCCCTGTTGCATGCTTGTAAAGTCAAATAAATAATGAGTTAAGAAAGTTAAAGTAAACTCCAGGCCGCTGTACACGAACAAATACACGAAATAAGCAGAACCCAGCGTTCTTAAGTTTTTTTTCTCTGAAATTGTATTACAATATTTAACGATTTCTATCAAACTTATAACATATTAATTCATTGCAATTTCACCTTGCGAACTTAGCCCAGATACTCCATTAAATTGGAATAGATCTATGGGATTGATGTAAGTAAGAATTCCAGACAAGCCAGATGCGAGGCTTTTCGTTCTACAATTTGTTGGCAGAGATTCTTTCAAATTGCAAATAACAAAACCCAAATCGCTCCCTGCTAAAAGTAGAGCAAACACAGCAGGCATTATGTACCAAGCCCCTTGCCTGTTATTACTTGAAAGCCAAGCGAAAAATGCTCCTATCATTGGACCTGCGACGAAGCCTATCGAGAAGGCTATACCAACCAGTGCCTAAAGACGTAGCAAATTTTGTAACGTTATAACTTTATCACCTCTAGGAATCGGTTTGAATAAGCTTTACCATTGCTCTTCCCCTCGATTTTGAAGAGGTGACGTCACTGATGATAGCCATCGATAAATTAATATTCCCTTTACAAATACCTCCAACGAATCTTGCTAATACAAATATGGTAAAGTTGCAGGACAAAGCCCATAGTAGGTAAGACAAGGCAATCCCTGTTAAACAGACTATCATCATTGGCTTTCTTCCATACATATCTGATAGTGCACCCACTATTGGAGAGCTTAAGAATTGCAGAAACGAGTACATAGAGCCAAGGAAACCTATGAATCAAATTGTTAGAATTTGAATACTGCCACTTGATGAGGTACAAACAAAGAATGCCTCACCTCCATACAGTACTGTATTAACTCTATCTGGGGCATCGATAAATTGTCTTGCCCTTTGTATGTGATGCAAAATTTTGTAATACATGCCTCGGTCATCCTCTATTTCTTTATAATAATCTAATAAAGCCGGGAATAGCGGCAGTATCATAGTAAACGCCAAGAGATCCAGAAGTAGAGAAATAAATACTACTTGGACGGTATTATCTTTCGTTTTATTCATGATTGGACGATTTGACGAGTAAACGTGTTCAATACTAGAATCTCAAAATACTGTAACTTAAAATACGAACAACAACGACCCACATGCACTGGACCGTCGGTTTCATTCAAATCCTCATCTCATTGTTTGATCGTGATTCATTAGTTTGAAGTACGCACAGACATTTTAGAATAATTTTGTAACGCGAACTGATCTTTTCGAAAACGTGCAGCCTGTTTCGACTGCGTTACTTTCTATACGTCTCATCCTCATCGTAAACACTTGGAGGGATTGATTCCCACAAGTGAAAGGATTTGACCCACTTCTCGTTGCGTAGCTATTCAGCTTCTTACCGACGGTTCTTACGCACAATCAGTAAGAAAGAAACCTATTTTATTTATTATTCTCGAAGCTGCTGACAGCGTGAAAAAATTGCTGACATTATTTTTTTATTATTCCACCATGCAAGATAGATTCTGCAGATTGAGCGTTTCGAAGAACTCTGCAACTAACATAGAGACTGAAAGAAAGAAGATACGATAAAAAAATTAAATCATATAATTCTAGGAGTCGTCATCTGATTGATAAACGTACTTTTAAAATGAAAATTAGCATGGCAGCTGATCCGAAGCGTTCGGTATTCGATACTTGAAAATATAAACCGTTTAATAGTAAACGCGTGAACGAGAAAAACGTAAAATGGGACCTGCTCCGCGTGAAATTTACAAATCTGATAAAACGCGTGTATCCGCGTTGTAATCGTACTCGTTAAATCATGATTAATCAATACATTGTTTCTATTTGTCAGTGAAGCGAAAAATAGCACAAACCGGCGCACCCAGAAACATTATGTACGGTCAACTTCCGGTTGTTGCAGACGACGCAAAGTTAGGTATTCGTGTAGTATACACGAACACGTTTGAATTCGACCACGGATTCACTTCCTCGACGGGAACAAAGATCTTTTGAAACCCGTCCCAAAGTGTAACGTCGGCTCGGAACGACCGTTTGTTAACACGTAGTATACGCGCATTACTATATACAGGGTGTCCCGTCATTTACGAGGGGGGAAAACAATGAAAGCAGCTCGTACATAAATAATAGATGTCCTATCCAGGTAGAAGAAATACTTAGGTAGAAGAAATTTCGTAAACAGACCGACCTTGCTTTTAACAGTCAGGAGGAATCACGTTGTCCACAACGAATACTGTAGATAGATCTTCTACATTTTCCTTAATGCATCCTACGAAGCATCACAGTTACAAAGCATTTCGTACGCTTTATCGCATCAGGATAAACTGAGAACAGCGTGATCCCGTGCGTGCTTTAAAGAACCGTGAAATCGCGAGGCAATCGTAACGCAAACAGGGATGATTCTCAAGGACTACGAATCAAATTTGATCGCTGTCACAAGGCTGCACATTTTCAGAATAGCTCGATACGTACTACGCATAGAACAGGTGGCTCGGAGAGCAGCAGCGTTACATCGTTAGTTAAAATTTAACCACGGGATTCGGCGCTTGCCATCTGGGCCCTATACCTATGCTCCGGTGTGAAGCACATGCGGCGCATCGACGCCGTTCTCCGACTCCGACGTCTTCTGCAGGCTTTAAAACTTTTCTTACACGCGGAGCCGAGAGTCGTTCCGGGCGAAGTTCATAGATATTTTTTATCATCGCGGAGGATTCGTACTCGCATCGAAGTTCGCGACGCGACAATCAGTTCGCGCTTACAGATGCCAAATTGTCTACTTAATATTTAAACGGTTTTTACGACAGCGAGCGCGGACAAGAGCGTCAAATTTCTAGAGAAATCTAAGTAAGCGAAGCGGCAGCGATCGGTATCGCGTCAGTTCGTTTCAACGAGGGCAGGTATGCAAAGGAACAAAAGAGCTGGATTTAAGAGATCCCGTGGGGGTGTTCGGTCGACCGGAGGCACACGGAAGCGGAGGGAAGGAAACGGGCACGGTCCGAGGTAAGCAGATGGAAAATCCCTCAATAAAGAAAATTGACGATTTTCGAGGAACCGTACCCGCTGTAAACGTACAGTGGAAACTCGGCGAACAATGAGGACAAAGAAAATTTTCGGGTACCGCGACGACAGTCTATCTACCGGCTGTGCGGCAAGCTGAATCCGAGGATTGCAGCCCGTGGTCCGCTAGTGCCCACCGTAGAAAAACCCTCGCTGCTCGCAGGCAAGCCCTGTATAGGTATTATGAACTAGCTGTACGGTTGTACGAGCCTTTCGAAATCGGACAACCATCGTATATACGTTGTAAACACGGGTAGACCCTAGCATCTCTCTCGCTCTCTCACCGGCTGTAAATCCTCGTTCCAAATGGTATTAAAGGGAAGATGACGGTCCGTCAACCCCCAATATAAGATGCATTCGCTAGAAGAAGGCTCTCCTGTACCCTGCACCCCGTGCTCTACCTACGTATACACGTATATACATTGAAAACGGGATTCCCGCAATGCCGCGCGATGTCGCAGTTCGAGGGGTGAGAAAAAAGAAACCAACTGAAATGTACGAAGGACATAGGCCATAGGTAGATAGGGGAGAAGGGTCGGAGGAAAGAATGAAGAGCGAGGGAAGCAGCAAACGTTCAGACAAAAATAAGGAAGGAAAGGGAAAAGGAAAGGAAAGCGAAAAAAGGACGGAGGAGCGTGGTAGAAATAAGGAGAACAGAGGAGTACCGTATGCGTTCGACCCGTGTACATCTATATAGAGTGTATAATACCGACGTAGGAATAAGGATATGTAAGCGCGCGTGCCAGCGCAACCGACAGCAGATGCGCTCGCAGCGGCAGCTGTCCTCCTACAAGTGGTTCTCAATCACTTCTCTCTGTTTTCGAATTTTCTTTATCCTCCAAACATTCCCTATCAACACGCGTCAACGTCAACCGAAGAATAACATCGAGCCGTAACAGCTTACTACGAGATCCATTGCAAAATTCGATCCACACGCTCGACCGTACTCGCGTTCGTTGCAATGTTAAATGCATCGTGTCATACTTGTATGCATGTGTCAGGTACCCAAAACGATTTCCGACCCAATTCGCATCGAAAGGCACCTCAAATCAAAGCTATAGAGATTCTAGAAACACGGATACGTCGCCTGAAAAGATATAACATTATTGTTTATAACGCAAATTCAAACACTAAGCATTTTCTATGACCCGTCACTTTTGGATAGCTGTACCCATAAGCATTGATGAATTAGAATTTCGTTAACGTTCATTCCTGCATTTTCAATTTACTGCACGTAGAATCTGCTTCAAATCAACTAATAGCTAACGTCGATGGTAATGCACTTACTTTATCTGCCAGTAAATACGACGAGTTCAGCTCCTCCGAGAATAAAATAAACTTCCTCAACTGTATAAATGGACTATCAGTACATGGATGTTCCTTTGTCAAGTTTGCAGCGAGTGTACGAAGCCGATAAAGTTCGATCGGTTGCTTGCAGCGTTTTGGGATTCGAACTGGCTGTCGTTAATTCCATTTGTAAAATAAATAGAAGAGGATAGTTTAAACGGCGGAATTATACATGCTCGCGTGATTTATAACATGCTCCAGATAATCTGTAACGGAAAAACGGCCGTTCAAAAATCAGTTGGAAAAGTGGCACTGCATAAATTGTAATAGTTCTACTATTGTAAGATTCGGGTGACCCTTTTTTCTCTTCCCATGGGATAGCTACCTGACAAAGAGACAGAAGAACAAGAAGAGCGGTATACGTCACATACGCATGACAGGCGGAGCGAAATTCAGGACAGCTGATACAATTTTGGCGGGCTTTACCGGTAGATCGGCGCAAGAAGAATAAGGAAGAGCGAGGACACGAGGTGGAAAGGAAGGACAGCTGCTCGGATGAAAAGGAGAAAGAGATAGGTAACGAGAAAAGAGTGTGCTCGCGAGGGCTGCGGAAGGGGAGACGTTTGGGAAAAGAAAGGGAAAAAGAGAGGACGGAAAGAAAGAGAAAGGGACGGAGCTTGGGAAAAGAAAAGGGGAGGATGTTGGGAGAATCGAAGGTGGAAGTTGATGGAAAGAGACGGAGAGTGAAGAGAGACCGAGAAAAGAAAGAAAACGAAAAAAGGGAGGCTTCAAAGTTGGTTGTTGCTGGTGTTCCTGCTTGGTGGCTGTTAAATAAGAATAAGGCCCCCACCACTCGGCCCTAAGGGGCACCTATATAGCTGGGGGCTTTCATGTACTTGGGACCGAAAAGGAATAAAGAGAGGAGGCACCTGGCCACCGGCAGCAGTTTGTCGAGGACTCTCTGCGCGGAATGTTGTTACCGTCTTCCGTGCCGTTCGTCGAATATCTTGTCCTCGCGAAGAAGAACCAAGACCAGCGGCGGAGCAACAGTTTTCAAAGTTCGTCTCGTCGTTGACATCATCGTCGCGAAACGTTCCGCGACGAGCTCGCAGAGTATCTTCGGTTGCCAGTGTTGTGCAGTACACGAGAGATCCGATCGTTCGATTTTCAACCATTTTTACGGCTATTGTATCACGATTTTCGACTGTCTGAACGAGACACACGAGTCGGAACGGGACGAGATCTGCCGGGCCATGGTGCGGGGAGAGGAACTGATCGTGAGAGAACGAGAGGACGAGAGAGTACGAAAGAGAGAGAAATAGAGAGAGGGGAGAGAATCGTGGCGTGGGACATTGGCAACCGGCGAAAGACGTCATTTGTTCCGATTCGAGGGTTCCGCGTGCTGTATTCGGCATTCTGTAACGTGGTTTCGTCGAAACGCGTGTCCGTTACGATATTTCTGTGACGACCGTGGATCCGTCGAGTAAATACGGTTTGTTTGCTTTCCTTCTCTGTAACTTCTAGTTCGGGAACGTAGCCGAAATCCGGGAAAAACCTCCGCTCCGAGAATGTCGTTGATCGAATGTGCGTCGTAGGACTTGCACGTGTGCGTGAAAATCCGTCGGTCGAATTATGTTTAAGATCTCTCGTCGAACGTCTTTCAACGCAGGCGGAAGTGCTGTTCGTCGAATGATGCTGCACGTAAAATTACGCAACGTGTAATTCATATGCGAATCACGCCGGTCGCATCTTCGCGCAAAATTTGTGTACCGGGTAAATTGTGATTTTGAACTCGAGTACCAACCGACGTTAGCACGCGACATGTAACGCGTACGATTTTCCGATATAAAAAGCCTTGATACGATCGAGCCGAATGCCGATGGTTTTCTTCGATTCGGAAACTGAACTATTCGAAGGCCGAATCGAAGAGACTTCGCGTTATCAGAAAACGTTCCAGTTGCACGTGTTCGCCTGAACGTACACTCGATCCGATCAAAGTTTCCGCTTATTAATTATTACATTTTCTCTTCCTGAATGATAGTTCGAACGTTTTGTTGACTTACGGTTGACACGAGAGGATTCATTGTGTTGCATAGTAGAGAGGCCGAGACTTGTGTCAATGTTACATGGTGAATCTTCAATATTGCACTCGTCCCGGCCTGTCAAAATGCAACGTATCACATCGCAAATAACAGAAGACAAACGAGGGGGCATGGCGTAAAGCGAGGAAGATGCTTTTGCAATTATTTTCATCGAATTTCTTCGAGGATACCGGCAGTTCAGGATGTGGGCACTATTTGTCGCATGGTCAGATCAAATTGCACTCGTCCCGGACTGCTGGGACCGCTCGACCCATCATCTCCGGCGTTCCAGGCTTTAGAAGCATGTTAACGTGGGCAGCTAGTTCATTTTTCCGGATTCCTAAAATTCTGCGTGCACCATTTTTATTGTATCTCGGCAAACAAGCTTTATGTATAAATCTGAAATAATAAACCACATATTAAAAAACTATCAAAACTGTGTCTCGATCTCGCATTGCCAGTATTCTTAAGATAAAACGATAAATCAAATTACGGACATTAGCCGCATCTGCGTAAATAATTTTAAATCTTAGTCGGTCGAAGAAGAGATGAAAGACAAATTACGATTTTCGTTATCGAATCTCATTAAGATTACAGATTTAGTTTGACGGGCGTTCTGTAAAAGAAAAGTAACAAATTTTAACGACAAAGAGCATCTCGATATATGTAGTACATAATGTAAGCTTTTCTTTGTTTGGGCTCCTAAGTAAATACGAACACGTGCGCGTAGCGCGCGTATCGTTAGACAAAAAGTTCCTATTGAGCGGCGTTCACCGATTCGTTTCCATCGTGATTTGATACACGGAAAAAAGGAAACCGTGATGAAAAGGGAATAATAGAGGAAAGAGCTGGCCGGGGGTTAAGTTACGTTCGATCGAATAATGAAACACAATGAAAGTAGTCGAGCTCGAGCGCGTTCCTTTCGATGGCCGGTGGTAGGCGAATTTTATTTTTCATTCATATTCCTCGAGTAAAAGATGTGGTGCAAGCATCCCCTTTTAAGAGTCCCACGGTTCGAAATAAAACACCTGGCTTCTTCCCTATGCGAGCCACCGTACACCGTACACGACCTGCACGTATACACGGGCACACGTTAACGCGTTTACGCGCGCACGCATATTCTCACGGCATGGCAGAGGACTTGCTTCGCGGACTGGTTTTGGCTTCCTTATAAACTTTATTCAATTCTTTGTAATATGCCAAAGGGTACACTTCGCGTATACACATGCGGAGGTACCTACGTGCATACGTCCACGGCCATTCATATGCTAAACAATAAATGCGCTGAAAGAAATGAATCTCTATCTTGTAGATACGACTGTGCAGCTGCCATATTCATCTACTATACTTATTCTGTATATGTATACCTGCGAGGCTCGTGGTAAAAAATTCTCGATTACAAAACTTAGGGACGCGAAAGCTACGTTGAAACGTGTTCGTCTAACAACACGTTTTTCCTAACGTATTCCGCTGTTACAGGCTCCTATTCTTCGTTCCAAATAAATGGCATAGACACCACCGTACTTATACCATTTTATCGGAATCATTCGATTTTGTAATTGTCTCATCCTGCGCGTTTATCTCTGTTTAAAATTTCTTAGAGAAGAGCTTGATCCGCAACTTACATATCGTATACTCATGTATCCACATTTATGAAGTGAAAAGAAATTCATAGAATTATCCTTACATTCCCGTTGTAATGCAACACTTGCAAAGTTTACATAATTAAAAAAGAACGAACGTTAGCGCGAAAGATAAAATAGAATTTTCTTTAGAGGATTTATTTATTTTGGTCTATGAAAATAAATCACCTCGTCTGTAGATATTTAGAGAAAGAAATAAAGGTTGCCTACACATGGGCAGCCAAACATCCGAACATGTGTTCAGGTACGTAGCTAGTAGAAGAGAGTGGAGAATACAGATGACAAATGACAAAAGCACCGATAGGCTCGATTATAGGCTAAGCTGGGAGACCAAGGCCGAATGTGTTTACAGTTTTCTTGAGTTTTATCCACGTACGAACAGAATATGCTTGGATCTTATTCATTGTGGCTTTAAAATTACGTGTTGGACTTAGATGCTAAGATTTCGTTCTACAGGCAGCCAAAAATATTTTGCAATGAATCACTTCAAACGCGTTTTGGACAGGTTGGTCATTTTATTTTAACAGAACAGTCTAGATTTCTTACGTTTCCAAACAAACTATATGTTTCTTACTAATTCTCCTCTTCCTTTTTTCAGGATATCATGGTGCGAGTACAGAAGGTTACAATCCACGTTGTCAACATCGACTTCCAAGGTTCAAATACCACCTAGAATAAAGCGAGGACCCACAGATATTTTATCTGTAAGTGTAAGAAAGACATACCATCGTATATAAACGATTCACCATCGAAAGAAATATTCTCATTTAATCACGATTACTTCTTTTAATTTCCTAAAGGCCCTTGAACGTACGATACCGAAGGATTCTATGAATCACAATTATGCATATCACGATGATCCTTTTCTAGTCCCACAGAACAAGATGGATTATCGTAGTTATGCATTATCCTACGAGGCAGGAAAAAAGGCTGCCATGTGGATTCATAGAAAACACGCTAATCTATTCCCAAGGCATCTGTCTGAACCAGAAATCAAGGTAACCTCGTTATAAATTTAATATCATTTGTATGTCCTGCTCTACGAATAATGTATAAGCAATATTTTTAATTAAAGGAATTTACACCAACCCCGAAGTATAAGCATAAGAGCCAGGTGTCTGATAAATTACTTTCCCGAACTATAGCAGAGTGTAAAATATTCGATGCTATGGATATCTATAAATTGCTAGGAAGTAGTACGTCTAATAAAACGAAGCAAGAACTCCTTGAATTGTTATGCTTTTATAATTCCGAAAGTAATTCATTTACCGAGTTCCCATTTGAACGATGGTTCATCAGACCAGATCTTAAAGTCTTTTGGCGGTAAGCGGGTAAAAGATCAAAATTGCAGATACATTCGTGGTATGGAATTTTCAATTACTTTTTATCTGCTTCAGGTATAATCCGATCATTAATGAATTGTACGAGTCTTTGGCAACTCAAGATTCGTCGACGGCAGCAGCAGCAGCTCATAATGCTATGATATGCGGACTAGCAAAATATTCAAGAGTACGTTCGTTTCGTCTGAAACAGTATTCTTTGTAATTTAAGTTTAACACGTTTATCATTAATGCTCGTAGATCGATGAAGCTATGACATTGTATCAAGATTGTCAAAAGAAGAACGTCCCGTTAAACGTTAATACCTACAATTACATCTTGTGTTTGTTGCCGGAGTGTTTTGGGAAGAAGAATAACAAGAAAATAACTTTTTTATTCGACATTCTTCAATCGATGAATGATAAAGGAGTTAAACCAAATGTTAGGACATTGAATTCTGCGCTTAAGGCGATCGTGCGATCTGATGCCGAAAATGTTGTAAAACATTTAATGTCAGAGTTCAAGAGGATGAACATAAAGTTTTCGTTAGCCACGTATTATTACGTACTATTCATGTTTACTCAAACAGGTGACTACGCTTCGTTCGCGATATATTTCGTCTAACTTTTTTCCTGACCGATCTTTTTGCAGGCGACGCTAATACGAATTACTTGAAAGAAATCGTACAATTGATCCAGAATGAATCGTTCACTATACAAGATCCCGATGACACCCTATTTTTTGCTCACGCTATGTACTTGGCTGAACATTACGTAGATCGAAAAGCCGGAGATATGATCCACAGTCTTCTCTTAACGGGAGATAATCAAAAGTTCATTTCGAGTGCACTGGCAGTACGTCTTATCGCGATGATTCACAAAAGAGAAATTATGTCTATTACATCTATTTCTTGTCTTTGCATAGGAAAACGTATATTACAACGCGTACTTATCGTTGCTGTTGTCAACGACTCCGATCGATGAATACTTTGAAATTTACGGGGAAATCGTGCCAAGAGTGTACGTGCCGAAAAAGGGGCACATGAAAAAAATGGTGGACGTGTTGAATCGTAGCACTCCAGACATTATAGCGAAATATCTACCAAAATTGTGGACAGACTCAAAGGCCTTTTGTCATGTAGACATAGCCATGAAATCTAGGATGATTCGTATGATGCAGCTCGTCATCTCATCAGCTGAGTCAGGGTCTAAACCAAGCTTTGTGGATGAAGCCTGGGATTGTTGGGGAACTATTAAGGTAATTTGCACGTTTACTAAGGTCTGACAGTAAAAGGGAAGGACTGATAATGGGCACTTGCAGTGGGAATTGAAGGAAAAACCACAAATGCATGCTCCAATTGAAACTGCTACATTGGCTTCTATAGCGTTGATATTATTACACGGTGATCGTGCAATGCAAAGCATCGAAGTTCTGAAGAGTATTGTTGAACAAGCGGATTCGTTTATTCCGACAATGACCATTGAACAAGTGAACGAATTATTCGAAACTTGTGTCTCGCAAGAATGTATCCAGGGAGCTCTCGTACGTATATCATTAATTAAGATCTTCTTCGCTAATAGTAATTCAGTTTCATCTTTGATTGTATGTAAATATAACATGCACATTTGCTTCTCTGTAGCTGGTCCTTGAGTATTCTGCAAATTCAGGATTTCCACATGTCGTTGACATGGCTATGAAATTGCACAATCTTCCACAGCTGACGAAAGTCGAGCGCGATAGATTGGCTAATTTAGTGGGACTGGAAAACTCATGTACATCCGGCACATCGAAATCGAATTGATCGCGATTCGATGTGCACAAATGTTTATAATATCGTAATTGCAATTATAGACTTGAATAACATTGAGAGATACGTCAAATTGAGAGCGCTCGTAGTTATTCTTTCCCCAAACCGTCCTTACATGCGTGCACAAGAATATCAATCAATTTGATATTCATAGAATAGAAATTACATGCGTGATGTATGTCCTTGTCCCCCTAACTAGGGTAGTTACGACTAATAAATTAAGTTGTACGGCAGTGGGGGCTACTATTCTCTCGTCAGTCAAATACTTATTTCCTGCATCGGGCAGCTTAATATCGTAACTCACCCATCCACGTTCAAAAGCTAAACCGTTGCGATACCTATCGCTTTAAAAAATCTTGTTAGCATACGAGAGACTTTTCGTATAAAAGCGCGTACTTCTCCGTTTCGGTGACGCGTTTAAAAATCGCAACTTGTATCCTTATCGTTAGATGACGATGGATGAAGAGGCAGACGTGCGTCTTACGTTGGAATATGTGCGCGAATTGATAAAGAAAGACGAACCCGATGTGGAGATAGACACTTTGGAGGAAGAGCCCGGCTCGGGAAGAGGTGATAATTACACGTCTATGCTGTATCGTGTTCGAGCGAAAGGCCGGAAACTAACGAAAACTGGTGAATGGGCAAATTGCGAGCGTGTGATCATTTATAAGGTTCTACCACTATCGAGAGAAAATCGCGAGGCTTATAAAAGTGAGCTATTGTTTAAAAACGAAGTAGCATTCTATACGAATGTGTGGCCCGCTTTGAATCAATTACAAGCGGACGGTAAAAATGTCTTTCGCGGTGTCGCGAAGATATACGTTGCGCGCCTCGATCTGATCGCTATGGAGGATCTACGAGAAAAGGGCTACGTAATGGTAGATAGAAGAAAAGGACTGCAGCTGGATCATTTGAAGCGAGTGCTGAAAGTATTAGCGGGATTTCACGCGCTTAGTTTGACTCTGAGGAAGACTAGGCAAGTCGCATAGCTTTTTCTCTTTCACCTCTATATTTCTGTTATTATGATATTCATCTCTCAATTTCAATCTACATGTATACACAAGGCCGGAAGAATTTGAAAGACTCACGGATCCCAATGGCCAAGGCGTGCAAGAATGTCTGTTTCGAATGGAGAACGAGGATTGGTATCGTCAGTACTATCACGTCGGTACTAATAACGCGATCAGGATGGTATCCGATGGTCTGCCTCCTCAAATGGAACACAAGAGAACCGAAGTAATGGACAAGCTACAAGCGTTTCTTAACAAACATGAATTTTTCCGTACTATGACCGAAATAGCAGCCACGCAAGGACCTCTCACCGTGTTCTGTCACGGTGATTGCTGGACTAATAACATTCTGTTTAAAGATGTCTCGAATGGAGAGGACGAAGAAGTAAGTACTCTTTCACCATACCAATTACCTTAGACAAACTACTATTATATTAAAATAAAAGTTACTCAAACCCAACTACCAAAGTAGCTCCATTCGGCTTTTAATAAGCGTCACACTTACACTTAATATTTGTTCGTACAAATAAATTATACTTCTCCATTGTCGATGTAAAATCGGGAACCTCATATAAATTCTATTCCTATACACGGATATATACATACCTCCATTTATTAAAATTACTTAAAAAAAAATCGAAGCACAGACATAAGTATAGTGTAAAAATATTTGTCTTAGTTTTTTTTACTTCGTTCACGAAGTAACGGGTACACACGAATATGAATGTCGGTCGGATGTGGCATCGGTTAGAATCAGTCCAGGGAATAGAAATAGAAAGTATTCCAAATTTAATCGGAACAAACCTTAAGTTACCCTTAACGCTACGGCTTTACAGGATATCTATTTAGTTGACTTTCAACTATCTCGGGTTGGTTCACTCGCCCTCGATCTTGCCAACCTGTTGTACTGCTGCGCCAGCGGAGAGATTAGACGCGTGCACATGGAGCAGCTTCTTCAGCACTATCATTTCCATCTAATGTCGTCGTTATGCACGCTTAATCCAAAACAGGCGCCGAAGGATCCGTCTGTCATGTGGGAACTGTAAGTCATATCATCCATACTTTAATTCTGTTAATGATCACGCCACTCTCCCGAATCATTTTACGTTTCGTTTACAGACTGAACGAAGAGATGCGACGTTGCGGACGATTCGGCCTGGGTCTCGCGGTCGACATACTACCGATCAGTACTTGCGAAAGCGAAGAAGCTCCTGATTTGTACGAAACCCCGGAAATCAGCGATAAGAATAAGGCTTTGCGAGCACCACCGCGCGGTGGTGCCGAATGTTCCCAGCTCATGACTGATATAGTTTTGGATCTCCTTGACAATCATGCTTTATAAGTTAATAATAGCATGTATACGCGTAAAGCATAAGAAATCATGAAACATGAGTATTTTTAAAGGATCTTTCTTACGACGTTACGAAATAAATTACACTATCATAATATGACCGATATGAAACTATATAAATCAGGAGGCATATAAGAAAAATTCGCCGAGCTCGATCGAAGAAAGACAAATAAAACGAATATTATCCTACAGAGGTACTGTTACCCCTACCGATCGAGGACCTATGAACACAATGAAATAAAACTCACGGTTTATGCCTGCTGTGGGGGAGTGTTCGACGATGGTTGTTGGGCAGGTGGTTGCGGACTCGGTGGTTGCTGTTGTTGCTGCTGTTGCGCGGCAGGCTGCCACGTAGTATGCTGATTCTGTTGCTGCTGCTGCTGCTCTTGCGCGAAACGTTGACGCGCTTGTTGCATCGCTCGAAATTCCGCGGCCTTCAATTGTTCCAAATGGAACTGTTGCCTTTCGGTGATAAGCTGCTGCCGTTGATACTCGAGACCTTCTCGTTCCCGTTCCATCGTCGTTTCTAGCTCCTCGAAATGGCGTAATTTGATCTCCAGTTTCTTCATTTGCGTTTCCACGAGTAGAGCTACCAACGATTTGATCTTGCGCTCTTCCACGGCCGCCAAGTGTTTAGCTTTGACTGCGGCCGCCGCTAGTGCCGCAGCAGCTGCCGATTGAAGTTGAGCATCTCGAACGACCTGTTCATTTTTTTAATCATAAGAACCCGAAAATAAGTAATTAGAAACGATAGACTCACCTTATCCTTCTTTTCTTTCGCTTCAATGTTCTCAGTATCGGCGGTCGACTTAGCGTCTTCTTCGGGTTCTTTTAATTCTTCTTCTTTCTTACTAATATCCATCTGACTTTGATCCACTTCGGACGATTCTTTGGGCTTCTCTGGCTCCTCTTTCTTTGTTTCTATCGGAGTTGTTGTCTGCGGAGATGTGGCCGAAGTGGTTGGTGCAGTACCAGTGCTCGTGGGTGCCGGCGTGTCATCAGGTGGTTCGGGTGGTCCCGTACCAGCTATGCCGGATTGTGCCAATCCTGCAGCTGGATCGAATTTGCCTAGCCGATTGAAAAACAATTATTACCATAAACTTGGTCGGTAGAGCTATGCACGATCCGAATTAATTACCATCGGAATTTGCGCTGGCTTGGACATTTCTTAAATGCTGATCCAGTAAAGCCGCCGGTACTTGATCTTTGATCGCTGCAAACTCTTCCATAGCAGCTTTGGCAGCGCTTGCCGCGACTCTGGGATCAACGACGGAAGCTAAAAATGCTACGGTGCTCATAACTGGATTGCCAGCTTTGGAGAACGGTATTGGTTGGTAAGCCAACGGGCCTAAACCTTCTGGCCCGCCTTCCTCCAAGTACGGATCTTCTATCGGTAGCCGCAAGAAATGCAATATACATTCGTCCTGTGTTCTCGAGCCGACGTGCTCGCAGACTTTGTTCCAGTCGTCTTTGTGCAATTCCAATCCCTCCAGCAGTAAAAGCGTTTCTTGTTCGGTCCAGTCGCGAGTAGCGCCGGCAGCTTGTTTATTTTTCAAGACTGCCGGCTTCCTAGAATACTGATCGATCTTCAATCCGAAATTGGCCATGCCACCGACGGAAGGCTTTTCCTCTGGTCCCACCGTGGCTGATTTCTTCTCCAGATCGAGCAGCGTTTTCGCGGCTGAAGGCTGCGGCGTTTTCGGGGGATTCGGATTGACCGGGGCTAATCCCGACGGTGTATCCGATAACACGTGGAAATGCGATGTCGGAGGAGGTCCCATTGGCGTTGGCCTCGACTCCGCGTCTACTTGGTAATTGATGAGTCCCCACTGTTCTAAGAACGCGTGCACGCGCATAATTGCGCACACATCGCCAGCCAGATTACGTCTACAAGCGGTCGATGTGATATACTCCGTTGGATTCAGTCTATAGGTGTCGATCATAAAGTTTCTGTAGGCGAGATAGATCTCAGGCGTCTTCGATTTATTTTTACCGTTAAAGAACTCCGAGAGAGCTCTCTTCTCGATGGTATGAATCGAATTATAATCGAACCAAGCAGAATAACTGGGAACCACGATATGATGCGTTTGCTCGGTAACGTTGTCTTCCGGTTCGTCGCCTTTATTTCCTTCTCCTCTTTCTTTACTTGTATCACGTTCCTCCCTGTCTTGGGTACTCTGCGAACTGCCCTTATCTTCCATCGGTTCATCTAAATCTGCCATGTTACCGGATTTTAACGGCTGTAGTTCGTTATCCTGTTTCTTACTACCCGTCGTCGTTAAAGTGGTACCGCTCGTTGGAACGTTGCCCTGGCCCGTAACCGGTGGATTCGTAGGAGCCGCGACTACCTCTACGATCCGCGGTTCCGCCGGTGGATCTTCCATTCCTTGAGTAAGATCGTCTTCTTCTTCTCCCCCGCCGCGCGATTTCTTCGGTGTTGCCAGCGACGAGGAGGACGAAGTACTTTGGATTCCCGACGGTGCCCTCGCGCTCTTACGTTTCCCCGGCTTCGGCGACGGACTGGGAGATCGTTTCCTTTTTGGTTTGGTCTTCGCTGTAGGCGGAGGATGGGACGGTTGCGCCATCAGGTCTTCCACCGAGAGCCGGTATTTGTGTATCTTCTTCTGACCGTTCTCGTCTATCTCGTAATCCTCTTCGTTCATCCACTCGTTGTACTGATCTAAATCCAACGCCCACGTCGCCGACACTTTGTACACAGGTTTCGAGTTCGCATTCGCGAGCGTGCCTTCCGGGAAGTCCCAAGGAAGGTCCAGCGTGGTCCAGGAATCGTAACTATCTGGGAAATAGTACCAATGCAGGAGGACGGACCTCTCTCGCCTCATACAAGGACGCGCATATTCTTCCTCCATAGGATCCACCGATGGATAAATTACGTGCGTTGCATCCGCTTCGTTTTCGGCAATAGTACCCTGATGCCGACGTACAACTTCCTTCACCTTGCCAGCCGTCGATTTATCTACGTCGGATCTTACGTATATGCACGGTATGGTCATACATCGGTTTTGTACAAGGGCTCGTTCAGCCGCCATCAACATTTCCATCGTTCGATCCATACGAGATCCTGACTGAAAATAGACATTTCTCTATATACCTCGCATTCATAATACATTTATACATTGCTTGGGTTGTGTCTTCACCTTTCCAACTGGAAAATCGAATCGACGCCATCCTTGTTCTTGCTTGAAACGATATGCCGTAGCTAGGATATGACACAAGCCACCACCCGGTTTAAAGTCCAAGAAACATTTCATCTAAAAATCACGATTACGTTAAGTAATTGAATATTACGGGAGAGGCAATCAAATGCATTGACTGATATACGTACAGGAAGCCGTGTCATTGGTGGTTTCGACACATTTTTGCCTAAATTGTCTTCTTGAAATTGTAATAATTGCACTATCAATGTAGCCAAGCTTTTATTGGTAGGAGGATCCGTTTGCACGTACTACGAAATAGCAAATAAAGAAAGAAGTTTAAAGCTAATGAAACTATTGTGTCAATACATTTTATAGAAGGCGATCTCTGCTCTTAGACTTCGTATCATAAAATTCAACTTGTGTATGTTACAATGAAAACGAAAGAAGGAATTGTTAATTGATACTACTTATTATCGTCTAGGATAAGAAACAAATTGAAACGTCCGACGAAACAAACGAACAGCGATAGAATTTTTGATGCAACAAGTAAAATGAGAAAGTATTAACAGAGCGGTAGTACAAATTGTCAAACAGTTTCGTATAGACTCAGGCACCAAGCGTTCGGATATACCTTTTTGCAGTTCTTCAACAACCACTGTTTAACGCCGTCGAGCTGCGTCAGGATTTCTTGTGATTCGAAGAACTTCGCGTTCGGTCCACCGTCTTTCTTCGGTTGGAATGAGAGCATCTTTCACGGGATATCGGCTTAAAAAATAGTTAGACACGTTACGAGACGGAACGCCGCGTTTATTGTTTTCCACTGCTATACGCCGCTATGGCGTTTATTTCAAGCTGAAGTTGGCCATGTACTTTCCGATGTCGCGACGTCTTCGATTATGTTTATCAATTCTTTCTTCAAAACCACACTTCGTATTTTCTAAATAATTATTCACGTAATAAAAAAATGAAAAGATATTACTGTTTTCCATTTATTCTTATAACTTTAAACGTGGAAACGAATATTGACTCTGACGATTGGCAAACGTGCGTCACGTAGAAGAACGGACACTCCCGTACTCGTATTAACCATAAAACGAAATAGTTGATTAAAAATCTCATACGCCGGTAGTTATGTCCGACGAAGAGGATACAGATATAAATAAGAAATTCGAAGATTTATTGTTTGCCGAAGAACAAGCTCAACGCGGAGGATACGAAGAAGGTTTTAAGGTTGGCAAAGAGCAGTTGGTAAACGGATTTCATCTCGGATATCACCGAGCCAGTCTCATTGGTGCACAGTTAGGATATTACTGCGGCACCTTGGAACAATATTTATACGGAAATAAGTGCAATTCGGAGAAATGCGTTCATATCGCGAAGCAATTATTACAGGACATTCACAGTTTCCCAAAGTTTAACGACGACACTGTAGATATACTGAAGGCTATGGACGATATTAAATTTAAATATGCCAAGTTTTGTTCGTTAGTAAAAATATGCCCGTCGTATCCGGAAGCAGAGAAGCTTGATTTTTAATCGAGTGCAAAATATTACATCTGACCAAATGCAAAATAAAGCGATATTACTTATAATAAAGTATTATTATTTCCTTGCTTGTGTTGAGAAACTCTATAGTTATGTATGACGAACATTTGAAAGAGATCATTCACTTTACCAACACTTACAGCGATTTAATAAATTGCCATATCGTTGATTTTATTACCAATAATTTATGGGCAACGTGTATACCGGAATCCCTAAGATCAGAGCTTGAGAGAACCGAGTTCAATTGGATTAATTCAATGGGCAACGATGATTATCCTGTATTAAACAATTTCATAAACAAGGCAAAGTCGTTGTCTTTACAATCATGTTCTGTCGAAATAAATTCTAAAGAGTTCGCGAACGTATTACCAGGCATTAATAATTGCAATAAACCCGTTCGTAAAATGGAATTTATAAATGCAAAGAAATCGCACGAAGTAGAATGCCTCGGGGACATCATTGGGACAGTTGCGAAAAAAATGAATAATTTGGTAATAGATGCAGGTGCTGGTAAAGCGTATCTGTCGACGTTCTTAGCAGAGAATCACAACGTTCCTGTTCTTGCCATAGACTCTTCGCAATCTTGTAGCAACGGAGCGATCTGTAGACAGAAGAAGTTAGGAAGGAAACTCGCGTTCTCCCCAAACCTGGTAAGTATTTCAAGTTCGAATTAAATTACAGATGATCTGATACCAATTCGTTTTTTGTTTTTAGGTACGATACGTGGTCGAAGAGATAAATAGTGGAACCGATTACGAAAAAATGGTGAATCAAAATTTTCCTGAGTGGGACATCGATCGAAATCTTCTACTGACTGGTTTACACACATGCGGTTCTCTTACTGATTCGAGTATCAAAACGTTCTTAAGTACAAAGGATATTAGAAGCTTATGTATAGTGCCTTGTTGTTACCATTTGACGAACGAAACGTTTGATCAAAGAATAAGTTTTTCGAAGAATGCTAGAATGCTGGCCCAACAGTCTGTCGAAAGGAGCACAAGAAATACATTTGTACCTTCATCGTTATTTTATAGAGCAATTTTGCAAGTGGTTTTCCATTCCTTAGGTAAACTCCTCTTTTAATTGATTAGCTGTTACCTCGTATCGTACATGTTATATTTTGTTACAGGTATTTATAATGCGAGAGTAGGTCGTGGTGGACCTCTTCACGATTTTGCAAGTTATGCACAATGGGCGTTCTCGAGAATCGGGATGGAGATCGAGAAGGTACAGACCATACAGTCAATAAATAAATAACAGTTGTACTCAGAACCATTTCTTTCAGATACCATCACGGGAGAATTTGACCAACACGTTCGAATTCTATGCACATTTAATGAAGAACTTTCATATATTTCAAATGCTGAGAGTGTACTTGGGTATCGCGTTGGAAGCAGCTATTATGTTAGACAGAATTATATTTTTGCAGAACAGTAATCAATGTTCCAAAGTCGCGATATTACGCTTATTCGATCCTATGCTGTCTCCGAGACGATACGCTGTCGTCGCGGTGAAATAACAGTTCGAAGAAGCAGCTAACTGCGAACAAAAATAATTCTTGAATCTAAGTAGATTTATTGTGTTCATGACTGATGTAATTTGTAAATATATAAACATAAATACTTTCTTGTCTAATATAATAAATATCTTAAACCAAAAACAAACAATGAAATAAAAATGAGCAAACTATTAATCTTCACGTTCGGTAGACTGGAGATAATCCAAAACGGATGAGTATCCTTCTTCTTGTGCAGCATATACCAGTATTCCGGTAGGGGGTAATCCTTCTCTCGTTCTGCATATGCTACAATTGCACAATCCACGACACGGTGGACAAGACCAGGTCTGTAATTTTTGGTCAAAAGTATAGTAGACAAGGAATAAATGTAGACAAATAGATACAGGAGTAGCCATCGAAATCATTGCAACATAGATGATCGAATTCAATTATTTAATACAGCAGTTGATATCTTTCCAAGAAACCTTTGTACAAGTTTCTCGAGAACACTGTTTTGATTGAAATTGCAATAGATTCCGCTGACTATGATAAGTAAATAAAATAAATAAGTCTTACTGGATTCTTCAATGCTTCCACAGCGCTCTCACCGTATCTTGTTCTCAAACACCGACCGCAGAATTGTCCCCGAACTCCGATGCATTCTCCCGAACGGCAGACCGTTTTCGTGTCCAACGTTTTCTGTCTACACTGATGGCAGCTGGTCCCATCAATTTTATCGTATGTCTTATCGCTAAATCTTTCGGCAACATTTTCTAACATTTCGTCTGTGATCTCATCGACCGATGGTATGGTGTTCGGATCATACGGAGCTTTTTTCACTTTCAAAAATGTCTTTTTAGACCTACGGTAGTTATCGTTGTCGTAGTCATCGTCATTATAGTCATCATCGTCATAGTCATCATCGTCATAGTCATCGTCGCTGTCATTGTCCTCATATTCTTCTTCCTCTTCGTCCACATCGCAAACTCCCATTTTCATTAAATCTACTGACCGTTGAGCAGGTTTTGCCCACGGGAATAAAACTCGCAGTTTACGTCCACTTCTGCGAGGTCTCTTCGAATAGTTTTCCTCTTCGTCGTCTTCGTTTTCGTTTGAACCCTTCGCCCTATTCCTAGTGCTATACGTTTTACGTTCTCTGAGATCATAGCGTCTTCTTGAAAGTCTTGTTTCCGGATCTCTTTTTTGTTTCTTTTTCGGTGGTTCATTTTCGAGATCCTCTGAGTCTTCATCTTTAACTACGTCTTTAACTACGTCTATATGTTTAACTTCCAATTCCTTTATTTCCTGTTTCTGCTTCTTGGCATCTTGAAATAATTCGGCAAACTGTAACGTCCAACATAAACAAATGACACATGCTCGCCGGTCGATATCAGGTTAAGATCTATGACAAATATCCAGTGTTACTCACGAAAGCATTCCTCTCGGCTATATTCTTGTTCCGTAGAGTCTCGTAATCTTCGTCCATGTCAACTATTTAACTTCTTACAAGTAAACAGATATCAGAATCAGGAGACCGAACCGCAGCTAGTCGAACGCACCGAATTGCGGGAAACGAATCGCGCATACACGGCATACACGATTTGGCGCGCAAAGTGCTTATATGTGTTCACACAGACGTATGGTCGGCGACCACTGAGAATTGACTGACGGTTCGCTGTATTGTCGGACAGTCGTGCGCTCGTGTGAATACTCGTTAGAACGTTAAATCGTTAAATGCATATCTATACGCGCACACATTCGCACGACTTATTGAATTTCAGGCCAACTCACACGTAGACGAGTTTCAAATAAGATCTTGAATTCAATACTCGTTCCCCGGCAGTTTCAGATGATTTTATATTAAAGTAGTCTCAACCGCTGTTCAACAGTAAAATAATATAAGGAAAATGTTACAATGATCCGTAGGCGATGGAACCGCAACTTCTCGTTTATTGATAAGGTGTCTTGCAGGTGCTTATCATTTTTAAGATTGTATGTTCACGCGTATAACGTGTAAGTAGGGGTCCCGATAAGAGCACCTATTCTTACAGATTTTAATTCACTTTCCACATGATCGTAAAATCTGTGTACGATATTAACAATTTTCATTAATCGTAATACCAAATCAGCTGATTTCGAGGAACTCGTTATCACACACGTAATTGAAATATCATAAAAGTAATCGTTATCGGACTCGATGAGAAGTAGCTCCCAACCGAGAGAGGCTTATCTATTTTCAAGTACAAATAAGCCGGGGATTTTGGACTGGACTACATGCTCTTTTCTTTGCCGATAGCTCGTATAATTATATCATCTTTCTTATCTCCGATACGAGGTATGACGCGACGATGAGTCCGAGGAGCGAGGAAAGCAAACGGCGTAACAAAACTATATAAACACGTGGAAATGCGTTCAGTACTTCTTGTCCCTCCAAATTCAGCTGACCTATAGGAAAATTCTAACGCGAAGAGAAAAACGAGAGGGAGGGAAAGAGTGCATATCCTTTCCGAGCGGATTCTAGCAAATTAGTTCGGTGCAGTCAGTCAGTTAGTTGGTCGCATTCGTATAGCAACGGTAACAAGCGTTTAATTACACAAGGAATCACCAGATATTTCCAAGGTAAAGACTTTAATTAATACTGTAACGCGTCGGTGATAAAGAATGCAATCGCACTCGTTTTCCTCGCGAACTTGAATACACCGATTCTGATAACGGTATATTTTTCTCGTTGTTAAGTAAATTTGCACATTCCTACTTACTGCAAATCGTTTCAGCGAGTGATAAACTCGCGTATGTCTGCATATCGGACATCGACACATTCCTACAGTACCCCCGACTTTTAATATTTTGGCCGCACGTACATACATCTTTTATGTTCGGCCAGAATACAATGAATTGGTTGTACAGTAAATGATTTAATCACAGATTGAAATTCTACAAATAGGTGCATCCGGGAAATCGATCAATAGTAGTTTTTCCATCAGCAAAGATATATTTAGTATCTACCCCGCGATGTTCAAGAAAATCGGAAGTGTGCCTGCAAAGGGATTCCTGCGTCTATTCCGTCAGGTATGTATTCCTGATCAAAGAAATTTATCGATATAACTGTACGTTCTTTTAATCGTAGGGAGAGAATTGCCGAACGATAACGTCGCAAGAGGTTTTCAAACGAGAATCGGAATACGGGGCCCACAATTATCACCCTCTTCCAGTCGCACTATGCAGAGCGGAAGGAGTTTTCATGTGGGACGTTGAGGGTAAACGATACTTCGACTTTTTGAGCGCGTACTCCGCGGTCAATCAAGGCCACTGTCACCCGAGAATTTACAAGGCGCTGATCGATCAAGCGAAAGTTTTAACTCTGACCTCGCGAGCGTTTTACTCGGATGCTCTAGGAGAGTTCGAGGAGTACATCACGAAACTTTTCGGGTAAGCAGGGATCAATCACGGTCTCCCTTTCCTCGCTAAGTTTCTACTTCTGGACTTTCAGCTATGAGAAATGGTTGCCGATGAACACCGGGGTGGAAGGCGGAGAGACCGCGTGCAAACTGGCACGCAGATGGGGCTACGATTCTAAAGGCATACCGCGGTATCAAGCGAAAATCGTCTTCGCGGAGGGCAACTTTTGGGGAAGAACGATGAGCGCGGTTTCTTCCAGCACGGATCCGACTAGCTACGCCGGCTTCGGCCCGTTCATGCCTGGTTTCGAGATCATCCCTTACGACGATCTCCCGGCGCTCCAAAGCGCCTTAGCCGATCCGCACGTTTGCGCTTTCATGGTCGAGCCCATCCAAGGGGAAGCTGGAGTCGTCGTACCAAAGGTATCCCAATTCGCTCGTTCTTTTCTTACCAGTACGTACGTTTAACTCACGTTTCTCTCTAGGACGGATATCTGAAGGGTGTCAGAGAACTGTGCACGAAACACAACGTTTTGTGGATAGCCGACGAAGTACAGACCGGCTTAGCCAGGACTGGAAGACGGTTGGCCGTGGATCACGAGAACGTGAAACCGGACATTCTGATCCTCGGCAAAGCTCTGTCCGGTGGTTTCTACCCAGTGTCCGGTGTCCTTGCGAACGACAACGTGATGCTAACTATAAAGCCCGGAGAGCACGGTTCCACCTACGGTGGCAACCCTCTGGGGTGCAGGGTCGCCCTCGAAGCATTGCGGGTGCTCGAGGAGGAGAAGCTAGCGGAGAACGCTGACAAGCTCGGGAAGATTCTCAGGGAAGAGTTGAGGAAACTTCCAGAGAACGTGGTTACCCTCGTCCGAGGAAAGGGTCTCCTAAACGCGGTCGTTATCAACGAGAAGATCGACGCTATGGACGTATGCTTGAAGATGAAAGAGGAGGGTCTGCTCGCGAAACCGACGCACGGCCATATAATCCGTCTGGCCCCGCCGTTGGTCATCACCGAGACTCAAATACAGGAATGCGCCGATATTATTTCTCGAACGATTGCCAAATACGCAAACTAACACACGTCATCATTTTAACTATCAAGAGATCTGACGAATAAACTTACTTTACAATGTTCTGCTCCTTTTGGTCCTATCCCGTTTATCTTTAACAATGTATGTACAATGAGTCGTTGTTGACAAAGTCGCGTCACTGAAAATGTTCACTGCATCGGAGTTCGAACAGTTTCGTTTCCACGAAACGCGATGGCAATGGAATGAAAACGATCGTGAGAACACATTTCGCCGTCTCACGATTGACAATGAGAAAATACGTTGCACTCGAACCCGTTCCAGTTATCTTCCGCGTGCAACACGACGAGAGAAAAATTACCCGATCAGTTACTCGCGTACCGGTTATTAATAGCCGAACGCGATATCCCGCGATCGATGTTTATTCTGGCGTTCGCCAGACACTGGATATTGACTCGCGATCTACATATAAGACATACGCGTTCATCATGATCATTCAGCATAATGCACGATCGATTTTGCACCGGAACAAAACGAACTGAAACGAGATAAGAGATCGCATCTTTTCCGGATGTTTTTCGCACCGACTAATCCCCCCTTCACCAATCCATCTTATCCTTTCGTTAGATAAGCATCGGGACTATAAATTTCGCGTTCGGATGCACGAACAAACAAAAAACGATATAAAAAAAGGGAAAAGTGTTTGCGTTCGTCTGTAACAGTCAGATCGCTACACGTTATAGCGCACACGTACAGGTACCCGTTGTTTGCCGTTTATCTCCGGTATTAGCGAGCTGGCGCCGTATATAATAAACGATACTTTCGTACTGTAATATTATCAGATACCGTGTCGTTTCGTTGCACCCTGGTATTTATTTTAAAACGCACTGGCGACGCATTGATCGTAAACAACAATCCACGTCTACAACTCCCTACCTTTCCCTGTCGCATTCGATATAAATGTACCACCGAAGAAAGCCGTATTTAGTACGAATCTATATTCGAGCGATCGTTAACCGAATCTGACTGTACGAATTAATAATCGAAATGCATCCGACCGCGAGATCGCGTCTCTTCGTTTTAACGAAAGAGTTCCATTCGAAGAGGTCCCTTAGCTCGCGAGAGTTGATCGAACGCGACGACAAGTTCGGCGGCAGGCACTTCAAGCCTCTCCCAGTTGTACTAACGAGGGGCGAGGGTGTTCATGTGTGGGACGTCGAAGGAAAGCGGTACCTCGATTTTTTAGCCGGTTTTGCCACCGTCAACCAGGGTCACTGCCATCCGCGATTGGTGAAAGTCATGAAGGAACAAGCGGGAAAGCTCGCGCACACGTCCAGAGCTTTTTATTCGGAGCCTCATGGCGCGCTGGGAGAATACCTGACCAAGCTATTAGGCTGGGACAGATTTTTACCGATGAATACCGGTACGGCAACGAGAAAATCGAGAATCATTAAATGATCTCCACTTTCACATTACATTCATTCGTATTATAATATTTCTGGCTAGTGCATGAATGCATCGATGATCTCGTTACAGGCGTCGAAGCCGGAGACACGGCGATTAAAGTTGCTAGACGGTGGGGTTACAGGATTAAGAAGATACCGAAAAACGAGGCTACCGTAGTCTTCGCGAAGAATAATTTCTGTGGACGTTCGATCGCTGCGTTATCCGCTTCCACCGATCCGAACTGTTACACCGATTTCGGGCCTTACGTGCCACGTTTCGACAAAGTACCTTACAACGATCTCAACGCTTTGGAGCAAAAGTTCCGCCAGGACCCGACGATTTGCGCCTTCATGGTGGAACCTATTCAGGGAGAAGCAGGCGTTGTAATACCTAATGTAAGCTACTTTTTATCCGTATGAAATTTGGAATTACAAATTCTATCGTAGTTTATTAATTGATTACAGGACGGATACTTGAAAGGCGTGCGAGATCTTTGTACCAAATATAATGTATTGTGGATCGCTGACGAGGTTCAAACTGGCTTATGCAGAACGGGGAAACGACTTGCAGTCGATCACGAGAATCAACGGCCGGACATTCTTATATTAGGAAAGGCACTGTCCGGAGGGATGTATCCCGTTTCTGGTATTTTAGCGGACAGCCAGGTAAAACTATTATTAATTGAAATAGCCAGTGACACTCAGTCAAAATGTTTCCATTTCATCGACTTTCAGATTATGCTATGCTTGGAAACTGGCTCTCATGGCAGTACCTTCGGCGGAAGTCCGCTTGGAAATAGGGTCGCCTTGGAAGCGGTAAAAGTATTAGAGGAGGAAAACCTCGCGGAAAACGCGAGGGAACTCGGAGAAATTGTACGGAGGGAGTTAGAGAGATTGCCGAAAGAAATAGCGACGGAGTTTCGAGGGCGTGGATTATTGGCCGGCTTGGTGATCAATAAAGGTATTTGTTCTGATCGGAAAGTCGAAGTTCGAGCTCGCGGAACATGAATCACCCGCGTCTGTGGTATTTACAGATTTCGCCGAGGGATGGGATATTTGTTTGAAACTGAAGGAAGCGGGATTGTTAACGAGACCTGCTCATGGACAGATATTGAGAATATCGCCGCCGCTCACGATTACGAAGGAACAACTCGAAGAGGGTCTCGATATATTGACCACCGTTCTCAAAAGTTATAAATGAGCCACGTATCTTTGCCATGTACTGATTTTCATTCTTAATCAAGGAATTCGAGATAAGGAAAACAGGATCAAAGGGAAATAAGTGTTAGGTGAACTATTTAATTAGGCATGGGACTCGTGCCTCTTTAAATGCCTGGTGAGGCTGAACGCTTGCGAGAACAGCTGATCGCACTGATCGCATTTGTACGATTTCGTCCCGTTATGTAATATTAAATGTCTCTTCAAGTGATTGGCCAATTTGAATCGTTTCCCACACAACGGGCACTGATGCTGCCTGACGGTCGCGTGGGACGCCTGATGATTCTTCAGATGGCTCGACTGCGAGAAACGCTTCCCGCACACCTTGCACTCGAACGGTTTTACCTTGGTGTGAATTCGCAGATGCTCCGCGAGATTGCCCTTTTGAACGAAACACTTGTTGCAGTACTCGCACTTGTGCGGTCGCGCGGCTTTGTGAGTTCGCAGGTGAATCTTCAGGTTGTAATTTTGGCTGAACGTTTTGTCGCAGACGTCGCACCGCACCAGACCTTTGCCGGTGTGAAGTCGTTCGTGCGCTTTCAGATTCTTCGACAGACGAAATCGTTTCTTGCAACTGAAGCACTCGAAACTTTTGCCCTCGTCGGAGCCGCCGCCGGTTCGTTTATGGGTTTTCAAGTGCTCCCGCAGATAAGACGGATACGCGAATACTTTGTCGCACAGTTTGCACGGGTGCACGTTCGTTTTCGTGTGGAGCCGTGTGTGCGCGTTCAGCTTGCTCTTCGAGGAGTACGCCTTCTCGCAGTTAGGGCATTTGAAAGGTTGTTGACCGGAGTGCGATAATTTGTGCGTCAGCAACTTCGATTTCTGAGAAAATAACTTGGAGCACGCGTCGCATTTGTACCTCCTCGGTTCCTCCTCGTTCTCGGTTGAACTCTTGTAATTAGGATTCGACCGATACCTATCCGAGATATTCTCTTCGCTGTCGGCGCGTTCAAGACTCTTCGCGAACCTTATCGCGCGGCAATTAGTTAAATTGTAAGTTTCTGAATCGGTCATCGCGTTTTGCATGCGATGAGGACTACCTTCTCTCACGTCCTCTCCTAGATCCATGTTCTCAGGAAAACCTAAGCTTTGCATCTCGTTATTATCGTTCGCCGCAGATCTATGATAAGATAAATTCTGGCTGGAATTCCCAACGGAGTTGATCGATCGTTCGTAGCTTAAATTCTGTGGTATTTGATTCGAATTATCGCATATGTCTATGTTCTCGTTATCGCAGGGTACCGAGACGTTCTCCGTTCTGTGTGCGATGCTGTGACTTATTAATTGGGTTCTATTTGTGAACGTGCGATTGCATAGGGAGCAATGTAAAGCGCAGGCCGCCCGATTAGGGTTCTCCACGTTCGTATTGGCCGGAATCATTTGCATCATGTTCGATCTGATCAAAGGCGATAATTCCGAATGCTGAACGTTTTCATTGGCCAGGTTCGAGCTCAAATGACCCAAGTTCAGATTGAAATACGGATTTTGCGATTCTACTATGTGCATGTGTTGCATCGGTATGTCGTCTTGGACGAACGGTAAATGCAATCTGCTGTGCGCGCATAATTCTTGATAGTTCCCAAATATAGCCCCGCAATCGATACATTTCAACGTTTTATGAGAATAATTCGTCACCGGTACGAAACCCTGATTCTGCTGATACAATTTACACCCAGCGTACGAGCCCAGTCCGGAAACCTATGAATTTTCGCACGCTTGTATTTCCATGTTCCCGCCGAACGGAAGACGACTTTGCAAATTATCTTTCTCTTTAATTAGATCAGCGGTATCGCAGTTTATCACAGAAATTGCAATAAAACAGGGAATGCAAAAGTACGAGAGAATGAAACGAGCTTCGATCCCCATCGATTGACTCGGTCGCTATTGTCGCTTGTTCTTCATTTTTATACTAAACCAGTTTACAGCTTACTATCGTTACATTAAATCTCAGCTCGTAAAAAGTATAGAAGTCGCAAAAACTCTTAACGCTTACCTTTAAAAGAGCCTGCCTCAACGCTCTATCCGCCGCTCGACACTGTTCCCTGTACAGCAACGCGGATTCCGCTCTAGTCACACATCGGTCGCACATTTTTTCTGGGAGACCATCGCCTTGCCACACCTGATGAAACACGCAACACTTTACAAAATCGATCCGTCAGGCACAAATTAAAGCGATCCTTATGTTATTACTTCGAGGCACGAGAGCGATCGGAGTTTAGCAGCGAGAGACGAGCCGGCCGGTCCTACGAACAAACAAACCATTTTGTCGCCGTCTTCTCTCAGACACGTTCGGCATAGCTTGCTGATGTTCTCGCTGTCGATCTCTTTTGTAACGATGAACATTCTCACACTTCGTTAGCCCACAACCCTTTATAGAACGCCACAATTCTCAGATTTTTACGTGAAGACGTGATTCGTACGCGTTCACGACATCGGCCGAGTGAAGCCGCGAAAACAACATGACGGCATAGGTGGGAACGCGCGGTCAGCTGATCTCCGCACTGGAGGGCCATGTTGTTTTTCGTAACGCAACTATACGCGTTCCGACATTTTGTGTGCAGAGAACGACAGATGTCGTTGAGTGATCGAAAATGGAAATTTTGTGTCTGCGCGACTAAGCATCTGCGTAAATACAATAAAATAAATTGAATTTGAACATGCGGATTTGGACAGGGACAGGAGACAGCGGAGACAGCGTCGGAACGAGAGGTAAACGTGGCAAGTATTTACGACGAGATATATTGTAACAAGATTGTCCATATATCCCGTAATCCCATAAGTAAATTAGGGTGGACAGTCGAGCGAAAAGTTTCGATACAAAGTGGCGTAGACAGTCGCGTACGATTTTTATTCGATTATTCTTTGTTGGAAATCTAATATTTCGTATTGGTGTTCGTTCACCGTGAAGTCGGAGAACAAAACTTTTGCATATTCGTCGATCACAGTTTCTGGTTTGATCGCACTGGCTTTCCGTTCCCGCTATGACCAAAATATGTAAAACTGATAACACGACGTAATCGGTCAATTTCTATCCATAATAGTTTCTCCCAGTCTTTTGTGAATGGTACACGACCTAAATCAGGTATTTGAAAGCCTGTTGCGTATACCAACGCATAGATATATACGTAATGTGCCTGCAAGGAACATCTCCCTCCTACCATAATTTTATTCCCCTTTCGTTAATCCTATCATTAATGAAATACACAATTTAATTAATTACGTTGGAATAGAAATTCTGTGAACAATAGCATCGCGACCAAAATACAAGCGATTCAGTAAATCTGTATGCGCGTGATATTCAATAAATAATTCTATTGAATATTATGCACACGTTTCGACGATACTTTCTAAACATGTGTGTTACTACGAAATTTGTTGGTTTGTTGTACATTGTATAGATATTGTACAGTGTACCGATAACCAGAATTAATTGTATGAAGATACATAAAGAAAACAAAGTGACAAAGTGCTCGACAAAGGACGGACGATACAGGAGCAAGTAACCAGCGTGCTGCAAGTTATTAAGAAAGTTCACGCAAGTAATTGCAACAAGACCCGTTAATGGTAGCTTCCCCGGTTCCATCCACGCCCATCTGCGCTCTAATCTTTTCGCGGCTAATGAAAGTCGAAGACACCGGTGCAAACTAGATGACAAAGTACTTATCGAACCTAACGAATGTAGATGGAAAGCAGGACGGAGCAGGCAACGAGGCCCAATTATCCACCAATCGTAATTACAGATTCGGAGAATTCCGCAGCCGGATTAACCCGATCCTTCGTTCGTTCGGTTGTCCGAATGTCGCGAGTCGTTCCACGACCCTTTGGTTAGTCGAAAAACCGACGCTCACGGCTGAGCGTTGTACGTGACTCGTAGAAAATAGGTTTTCGCGAAAGCGGGAGGTCGCGAGCTTCGACCGGCGTCGCCCTTTGGGAATTCGATAATGGGCTTTCGGGTCGATAGATTTGCCGTATCCATCGTTTACCGATTAACCGGGAAATGATCGAAGTTACTGATAAACCGAACGTTTTCGCGGTGAAAACGATTTCGAAAAACGTATCTACCAAACTCAATTGTTCGCGATATACGAGTCAAAGTACGTACGTGAACAGAAGCTTCATTGCTCATGTATTACATCGCGAATTCTCACTATCCGAGCAACCGCATTCCTTCGTTATCAATCTCTGCCTATACGCACCCATTTCGTTATCCCGTACCTCGTTCCTCGATGGTAAACTCAAAGGATTTCATACGCTTCAGTTTCAATTTCGCCAAAGGTTTCCCTTTTTGTTCGTGAATAAAGATTTAGTCGATTGGTACACGCGAGTCTATGGATAGAAAAGGAGACCGCGAAGTTACGACGCGTTCGTGTAAATACAACTGGGAATCGATGAATCCTCGTGGTTTGTTTTACGCCTTGTTACACTCACGAGGAAAAGGTGTGGCCCATTATCGTGTAGCTCGACGCGCTTTAACTTTTTCTTTAAATTATTACTTTCGGCCGAGGTAGTCGACTCGTTTCTTGTCTTCACATTTTTAGGGACACACGCTCAGAATAGACGCAAAGTAAGTATTGTATTCCGTAACTTAATCTTTACTATTTATAATACTAAATATCGTTGGTATACAACAGAAGAAGAACATTGATTCAGTTGTAAGAGAACTTGTTTATTCAAATATACACATTTATCATTTGCATAGTTTAAGGATGTATTGGCTATACGGTCAATCCCAAAAGTTTATGCACTTTAGAAACGCATTTTTTAAAAAGAAATCAGACGTCGGAAGAACATTGCTGATAATAAACAACGAAAAAAAATTTTCGATTTTTCCGAGATTTTTCCAAGGGGTACCCCTTCAATTTCTTCCAAATTTTCGTTTTTGGCCAATAACTCCCAAACCGTTGGACATACGGAAAAATTGTATACGACCTTTCTTATAGAGGAAAGGTCTGATGCAATTTTTCCGTATGT